AAGCTGGCTTATGAATGATAATGGGGGTTGACTTGTTCACAAAACACTTTTTTCTATGTATTTTTAAAGTCATTGAAGTGAAAATTATCCCACTTTAAAACTGACCGAACTAAGACAGGAACAGATTCAGATCTGCCCACAGACCAAGTAGCTAGGACCTCAGATATCAGTGACCGCCATGTTTCATGAAGTTGCTGTGCAGTGACTTGACGGGAGTGAGTCTATTGGGTTTTGAGGGGGTTTGCCATATTTTAAGGTTGCCCACTAACTATATTTTAGATTGGTGGAAAAGAGCAGAGAAGACCATCCCTAGTTCAATGCCTTCATTTTCTCAATGAATAAACTAAGGCCCACAGTAGACTTTATTGTAAGATTGCCAAATAGAGTTCAGAGATCCTTGCTGCCCAATGGCACATACATAGGTCTTCCCTATTAAGGGTTTTGTTTTTGTTTTTTAATTTTTTTCCCTATTAAGGGTTTTAACCTCAGGAAGGGGAGTGTTGGGGGGAAGGCAGTAAAAATAAGATAAATGGGAAAATTGAACTTTTTCCTTTTTTAAAAGTTTTTAAATTGTTTAGTTTGATACAAGATTCTTCGCTAGGAAAGCCTACTCTTTGACTTTATTTCTTCTTCTTCTTTTTAATCATTTTATTGGGGGCTCATACAACTCTTAGCACAATCCATACATACATCCATTGTGCTTTTTGACTTTATTTCTAAAGGCAATCTCATCAACCTGTTTCTTAACATTCAAACTTAAAGAGCCACCGAACCAAACCAAACTCACTGCCCTTGAGTCCATCCAGACTCACAGCGGCCTGTAGGACAGGGCAGACCACCTGCGGGCTTCTACTCTGTATGGGAATAGAAAGCCTCCTCTTTCCCTCATGGTGTAAGTGATGGTTCTAAACTGCTGACCTCTCAGTTCGCAGCCCAATGGGTAACCACTATGCTCCCAGGAATCCTACAATGCCATCAAGTGCCCCCACCCCCACCCCAATTTTATACCAGGCGATATTTTAAAGATTTTTACATGCATTAACGTAACCAATAACATCATAATATAAATACTAATGCTGGAAAACTAGGCGTCAACCCCAGACTATTAACTATGAGGACAGAGATTTTAACTGCTGAGCTTTATTTATTTAAACTTACTTAAGCTGTTGGTAGTTACCAACGAGAATCCATTCCAACTCATGGCAACTCCCCTTTGTGCAGGGTAGAACTACTTCATAGGGTTTTCAAGGTTTGATACCTTTCAGAAGCATATCACCAGGTCTTTTGTCTGAAGTACCTCTAGGTGAGTTTGACCTCCCAACCTTTCCACTAGTAGTAAAATGCTTAACCCTTTATGTGGGTTAATCCATCTCCAGATTGGATGAAATTCCTTTCCTTAAGTTTCTTGACTCTCACAAGATCAGATCTTGGGGCATTTCCTTAGGGTTTTATGATCACATTTTACAGATGAAGTAAAGCAACTTAGCTAAAATCTTTAGTAAGTGATAGTGTCAAAACTGGAACTTAGACCCATTGGTTTCTGGCCTACTGCTTTGGGCATTTTAATGCTACCACTTTTTAGCTCGTTGGTTCTGTCAGTTCAAGTGGTCTAGCTTGGTTGTGTCCAATAGCAAAAGCACATCTTATACAGTGGTTAAGCGCCCTTAGCTGATAACCAGAAAGTCAGCAGTTCAAACCCACCAGTCACTCTGCAGGAGAAAGATGTAACAGTGTGCTTCCTAAAGATGAAAGCCCAGCGATGCTGAGTCGATTCTGACAGAAACCTTACTGGGGCAGTGTGAGTCAGAATCAACTGGACAGCAACCGGTGTGGTCTACCTTCTGAAGGGACATGCAAACAGTAACCCCAGGCATACAAGAGACATTTTACCATGTTTAACTGCTACTCAAATGATTCTGGAAAGAAAGGGAAAACTTTAATTTGGTCATAGCTAGTGCTGTCAAGATCCAAATTAATATTTTAGATTAACCTTATTCTGAGTCTTAAAATGGTCAGCAAATGACAATATGAATTTCAGAGCTCCTAACACAAGCAAGAGTATAAAGAAGTAAGGTACCTTTTATTCAGGGCCTTTGTACAGATTTTCTTTAGAGAAAGCCCTTTCTGACTTCATGTGGAGTAGAAAATGAGCTCAGTTTATTTCATGCTGCTCAATCTAATTTGGAATCATTTTTGAATTCCTAGATGCTTGAGAACAGAGAACTTGCTCCCTAGAGCCGTGCCTCCTGACAGAGGAGAGTAAAGACTAAATTGAGCTGAAACTAAATTGATTGACATTTTGACACTCCGCAGATGGTGAAAAGAAAGGGAATTTGTTCAGCTTTAAAAACAAAACAAAACAACAACAAAAACCCAGATATTAGAGAAAAAAAACATTTCCTTAAAGGGGTACCCCAGTTTGCAAAGATGATTAAATTTTTTCCTTAAAAACCAAGAGCATTAACACCCTCCTTGTTTTCCTATCTTACAGTTCAAAGCAAGAATTTAACTCTGAAGGCTGGGATGGGGGTGCTGAAGTGGTCTCCTTAGCTGAACCAGCAAAGACAGAGGTCTTTTGAAGGGAAACGAAGGACTGCACTTCTGGGGAGTCACTGTAGGAGACAAGTGTACATACTTATGAAATCTATATCTCTAGAGTTTTTAAATGCAAGAAGATGTTAAATCTGAACTGAGTAGGATACATCGGCTGTTGCTCCCCCCCCCCCCCAGCTACATACAAATGATTACCATGCCACCATCTTTCCACACAGCTTCATTTGGTGTTGACTTCAGTAAATTCGCATCTCTGCTGCCCTGAAAAGAACTAGACTCACCTTAATAGTGCTCTTCCAAACTGCCTCCTGCCCCTCCCCGGCCCCCCTTTTTGTTAATCACTGCAGGAAATTACAGCCTGGAAGATGTTTCAAACTGGCAAGTATGCCAGATATTTTAAGCAATTTATTTTGGGGTGTATCAGCAGATTTTTTTTTCATACACTGCCATTTGGGTGTCTGCTGACACAGCCTGAATAAATCTTTCAAGCATTTTCCTTCCTAGAGATGGATGATGAAGATGATGATGCACTGAACTCCCAAGATCAAGGCTTTTCATTAACTCTTCACTTACCAACTGGTTCCTTCCTGCTACCAGATCTCTAGAAAACACAGATAACTTTCAAGCACAAGTTTGTGATATTTCAAATCCCTTAGTGCCTTGGCAACAGCTTCAAATTTTATGGAAGGATCGACTAACAAGAGTTTTGCAGCATAGAATTTATTGTTGGATGATTCTATTGCGAGTATGTTAAAAAGGAGCCTATAGCATAGTGGTTATCCATTGGGCTGCTGTCAGCAAGGCTAGCAGTTAAAAACACCTGCCGCTCCTTAGGAGCAAGACAGGGTTTTTCTACACCACTAAAGAGTTAGTCTCAGAAACTCACAGAGGCCGTCCAATAGGATCACTTTGAGTCCAAATTGACTCGATGGCAGCGAGTATGTTAAAAAACTGTCAAGCCTCTGAAAGGGAAAAAACAAATAGCCTTGTGGCATATGTTGAGTCCTAAAGTGACTTCCTCCGGTGCTAATTTTAATCTTTATAATGGATTAATGACGTCGTTTTGTTTTGTTTGTTTTAATTGTTCATTTCTGTCCCTGCAACTCCTAAGATAGCTTTATTGGTATATATTTTAATCAAATATTAAAAATACTGAAAACACTGCTGCCTGGAAAACACGTGTTCTTAAGTGATTGGAAGAACAGGAGGTAGGAGTATTTTATTGCGTGCCTGCACTTTGCCATTACTTTCCCTAAACCACTAAGTTGCAGGGAGGGGCTGTTTCCTGGTCAGGTGAAAGGGACTGTGCAGTGAATCAGAAAGAATTTACCAACGTAAACCCATAGAGGCACCAGGGATCTGATTTGGTGGGAAAAGCCCTAGGTCAGGAATCCTAAAACCCCAGTTGCTGTGGGTGCAACATCCCTTAATCAGGTCATCTGGCTAGACCCTGAATGTTTCTACAACCATAAAACAAAGCTCTAACCTCTAGCCCGCCTTTCTCGCTGGATCATGTTGAACTATCTACCATGACTACATGTTGGAATTATCTGGGGAACTTTGAAAAATATCCATGTCTAGATCCTACTTTCAGGGATTCTGATGAAGTTAATTTGGGGTTTGGCCTGGCGTGGGATTTAATTTTCACAAGAGATTCACACATGTGGTCAATGGTGTTAATTGGAAGATTAGATGGCCAGGAAAGCCCTTTGTAAAATTATTTACTAGCATGGTAACATAGGTTGTCAAGACTGTGGATAGGTTTTCATCAGTCATAACGCCCACTGTTTTTTGTTTAAAGAAAAAGCAAACGAATCATCGAATTCCCTGAGCCCTCAGCACATAGGAAGGCCTTGATAATACTTGTTTTCATTTGTGAATGTTCGGCCTTTAGGACTCAATTTTAAGGTCATACCAAGTGTGTGTGTGGGGGGGGGTTGTTTTTGAATGAGGTCTTATAGAGCCGTGTAAGAGGCCAGACTCTGGGGATGAAACAATCTTAAAGAAATGCAAGCCTCTCTTACCCTCCCAGGCTGGAACCTCCTTGACCTGAGCAATAGCTTCTAGGGTCTGACACTTGGCGCCGCCCCGCAGGCTGGACACGGGCAGCAGGAGCCGCGTGGGCGCCTGGAGCTCCGGGGCGGGGCGCC